TACAGAATTTTTTGGAAGGAAAGAGGAAGAGGCAGAAAAAGAGATCTCACTAATTGAATTCCAAGAGGACTGCCAAATGGCGACTGAAAAAGAAGAAGGTGCAGTAGGTGGAAAGGTGGAAGCCAAAGAACAACGTGAACTAAGATCTACGAGAGCTGCTAAACTTAACTATAAAATATAACCATGGAAGAGAAAAAATTGATTACAATTAATATAAATGGACTTAACTCAGCCATTAAAAGAAGGAAAACCTTTCATAAATTAGAGAAATGAAAATTTGATATAATTTGTCTACAAGAAGTACATATTAAAAAACAATATGACCAATTGTTGATACAGCCAAAATTAGGGAAAATATTTACTTCCTTTACCCAATGTAAGAAAAGAGGAGTGGTTTTATATATTAAAGAGACCACCCCAGCAAAATTGATCTATACCGATGATGATGGAAGAATACTAATGCTGGAAATAATGGACAATAATATCAAAACACTCCTGATTGCAATTTATGCTCCGAATGACAAACAAGAAGAATTCTACAAAAAATTACATATGAAAATAATTGAACTGGACTATTCTAATATAGTTATGATGGGAGATTTTAATGGAATTGTAGAGAATAAATTGGGCTATACAGCACAGAAAACAATAAAGCAAAACAGAAAGACTCTCCCTAAATCTTTTTTTAAAATGGTGGATGAAATAAACTTAAAAGATACATGGAGAGAAAGAAATGCTAAAACTAATCAATACACCTTCTATTCAAATAGACACATCATGATCCAGAATAGATATGATATGGATGTCAACAGAATTAATATCTAACATTCAATAAATAAATATTGAAACAAGTACTTGGGCAGATCACAATCCAATGACAATTAAATAGAAAGGACAAAAAAGAAGATCTAGATGGACGTTAAATAATACTATTTTAAAGGAAAAAGACTTCACACAGTGGATGGAGAAAGAATTGGCTTTTTTCTTTAGAGAAAACAAAAAAGAAGATACATCGATTCAGAATGTATGGGATACAATGAAGGCATATGTTAGAGGCTTGATAACAGACTATATAAGGAAAAGGAATACTATGAAAAGGCTAGCCTCTAAGGCCCTAGAGCAGTGGCCCCCAACCCTTTTTGTACCACGGCCCAGTACTGGCATCACAAAATGATCCACAGACCGGTACCGCCATCAGCACGCATGCCCAAGGCAAGGCGAGCCGAGCGACCGGCCAGCCAGCCGTCCCCCACTTCTCCCCGGCACCTTCAACTCCTCCTTTGTACCTTTGTCGATGGGCTTTTTGGGCTCTTTCTTAATCTCCTCCTGAGTAACGCGAGACTCCACCGCCATCAGGGCGGCTCTTCGTTCAAAGCCGCCCCCCACCTTCGATGAAACTAAGGCGCAAGGATTCCTTCAGCATCCAAACACTGCTTTCCAACCGACAACCGACAAGCTCACCCGGAAGCACTTTCTCAAGTGCCGTTGAAACAAGATGGCGGCGCCCACTTCTTTGCGGCCCGGTAAAAAATGATCCATGGACTGGTACCGGTTCGGGGCCCGGTGGTTGGGGACCACTGCCCTAGAGGATGAGCATAAAAGACTTGAAAAATAGCTACAGAAAATGCCACAGAAAAAGGACATCAAGCTAAAAATGGATATAATTAAACACAAAATGGGTCAAATAGAAAAAGAAGAATTAGCACAGAAAATTAGAGGTGCTAAACAGAACTACTTTGAAGACGCAAACAAACCAGGTAGATGGTTAGCATACAAATTGAGAAAGGAGAAAGAATCAAGGAAAATATTGCAATTAATAGATGACCAAGGCCAAGTTTGCCATGGTAGCAAAGAGAAGAAGGAAATCATTTGAGACTTCTATGGGAAATTATATATGCAAGAGAATATTGATGAGGAAAGAGTTAAGCAGTACTTACATAATTTACCTCAGATACCTAAAGAGACTGAAAAAATGTTAGAAAGCAATATAACGATGGTGGAGTTAACTGAAGCACTAAAGAAGCAAAATAATGGAAAGGCACCAGGTCCAGATGGACTTCCGGCAGAATTTTATAAAACATTACAAGAATCGTTGAATCTTCCATTGCTAGAAGTTATGAATGAAGTTATGTTAAAGAAGAAGATACCTAAATCATGGTCAGAAGCCTATATTACACTTATTCCCAAAGAGGAGGCCGACCCATTACAAATTAAGAACTATAGACCCATTTCTCTCCTAAATGCAGATTATAAAATCTTTGCTTCAATATTGGCAGAAAGACTTAAAAAATATTTAAATAATTTTATCCATCCTGATCAAAATGGATTTCTGCCAAAGAGACAAAGACAATATGAGAGTAATCTTGGATACTTTGGAATACTACGAGGCACATCCTGAAAAACAAATGGCTCTGATATTTTTAGATGCACAGAAGGCATTTGATAATGTGAATTGGCGATTCATGTTATTACTGTTGGAACAGATGGGTTTTGCTAGAAAATTTATTCAAGCAATAGAAGCTATATACTATAAGCAAACGGCAAAGGTAATGATAGAGGGAGAACTGACAGACTCTATTAATATAAGAAAAGGAACAAGACAAGGGTGCCCACTATCACCTTTGTTGTTTGTGTTAACTTTGGAAGTGTTAAACAGAAATATTACAGATGAAAAGAATATAAAAGGAATGAAAATCAAAAAGGAAGAATTTAAGCTGCAAGCATTTGCGGATGATCTGGTTTTCATCTTAGAAGACCCTTTAGAAACAGCATCAAAATTGATAGAAAAGATAGAGACATATGGAAAGGTGGCTGGTTTGAAAATAAATAAAGATAAGACAAAGATTTTGACAAAGAATATGCTATTAAGACAAAAGGAACAACTGGCGGATCTATTGAAAATTCAGGTCACGAATAAGATCAAGTACTTGGGGATATATTTGACAGCAAGATGTAGTACATTAAAAGAGAATAATTATATTAAACTTAAACAGTAGATAGCGCTAGATTTGGTGAAATGGGAAAACTTACAACTGTCTTAATAGGGAGAATTTCAACAATCAAGATGAATATATTACCCAGAAATTTATATTTGTTTCAAACAATTCCAATTAGGCTTGGAAAAGACTACTTTGAAGATTTAAATAAAATTGTGTTGAAATATATATGGCAAGGTAAGAAAGCGAGAATAAAGTTAAAACTTTTGCAAGATGCTAGAATTAGAGGAGGATTTGGTTTGCCTAATTGGGAGTTGTACTACCAAGCGACAAATTTGATGTGGGTTAAGGAATGGATAACACTAAGAAATACTAGATTGTTGACTTTAGAAGGACATGATTTGTTGTTGGGGTGGCATGCTTTTTTATGGTACAATGGAACTAAAACACAGGGGTATTTTAGAAGACATTATATACGGGAATCTCTGTGGTTAAACTGGGAGAAGATTAAAAGACAATGTTATTTGAAAATTCCAGTCTGGTTATCGACTATTGAAGCATTTTCGTATCCTATAATATACAGAAAGGAACAAACAGTTAGATATGGTGAAATATTGAATGAAAAGGGTGAACTTAAATCTATGCAAAAACTAGAGGAACAAGGTATAAAGATGAATTGGTTTTCATATGCGCAAATACATTCAAGGTATGATAAAGATTCTAAAACAGAAGGTTTCTATGATAAACTGACTGACTTAGATAAGATTTTGACAGGTACTGATGAAAAGGTGATTAAAAAATTGTATGGATATTTATTAGAAATTAAACTAGAAGAAGAACAAGTTAAAGAAAGTATGATTGTTTGGGGGAAGAATTTTGGATATGGGATTGATTTAGAGAAATGGCAAAAATTGTGGTCTCAAAATTATAAAATGACTATGTCAACAGCATATAAAGAAAATTTGTATAAGATGTTTTACAGGTGGCATTTTCCCCCGACAAGAATAGCAAGAATGTTCAAGAATAAATCCGAAAAATGTTGGAAATGTCATCAGACACCTGGCTCATATTACCATATGTGGTGGACTTGTGCGGATGCTAAAAAATACTGGACTAAAATCCACATGTGGTTGGAAAAAATGACAAAAAAACATATAGACTTGAAACCAGAGATATTTTTATTGGGAATTTTACCTGAAATATATAGTAAAGACTTGAAATACTTGATTGTAAATGTGTTAACAGCGGCTAGGATTGTATTTGCTGAAAACTGGAAAAATGAGAAAATACCATCGCAGGAGGAAATCATTAAGAAAATATTGGAATGTGCTGAAATGAGTAGATTGACATTTGAAATTAGAGAACAAGAGGATAAACAATTTTATAAAATTTGGGATCTTTTCTATCAATGGTTAGACAATAAAGTACAGTAATAAAATATGTAGACTTTTAGAAAATAATAAATATATAAAGATGTACTTCTTTCTTATTATATCTACAAAATGATTTTAGGATAGATTTGGGATGATAATATGAACTGTTATAAAATAAACTAAGTAAACTATGGTTATCTTGTAAAACATGAATGAATAAAAGTATAGTCAAATGATTGATTAATAATGATACTAAGGTATTTAATTTTTGATTGACAATATGAGATTATATGTAATGTAATTGTAATTGAAGACTACGAAATGGAAGCACAAAACAGTTTGTAAACCAACCGGCACACTGTATGTATACCTATGGAAGATAGCTTGATGTTTTTATGTTTTGTTTGTTTATGTTTGTTTTTAAAAACCAATAAAATTTAAAAAAAAATTATTTGAGGATAAACCCAAATATTTAATGTTCAAGGCTTATCCACACTGCCTGTTTGTCCATCACCAAAATAGAACAGCAAACCTTTTTGAGAGCAGAAATGTATAAGGTTTTTTAAATTCAATTCCTGCCATCACAAATTCCACCTATTTGTCCATTTTCCTTTAGCAGTTTGAAAGTAGCCTTTCCTCTTATGTCATCTAAAGTGCTATTGTTCAACTGGAATACTTTACTTTCTTATAGGCTAGCTGCAGAGGTTTATTGTATACTTTGCAGAAGTCAGAATGCACTTCAGGTGAGCTTACCATTAGCTTAATATCTTTTTAGGCCTCCTTTTTGCTGTAATAGTTGTAATAGCACAAGTATAGTTGTTGCCTTATATGTTAAAGATTTCTTGTTTGAAACTAAAAAACCTATTGTTTACCTTTATAAGCTTCCAACTACTTCTTGTGCTTTACTACAAAAGTATTTTTAAACTAAGTTTAATACCACTGTTTCACCCTTTTTCTACACACAGGAGCTAGAAGGGTTTCACTCTAGCTGACTGATGGAAATTACAAAGAAAAGTTGTTTTGGAAGGGGATACAGAGGACTAAACAAGAAGGCTCTAAGCAGAGTAAATGGAATTTGGAATCAAAAGATGACATGATCTGGAGTCAAAGTGAGGTGAGAGAAAGTTATAAGGAGTATTTGTTTGAGGATTTAGTGATATATTGAAAGGAGGAAATTAAGTAAGTGCTACCAATGTAAGCATCCAAGAAAAAAAAATGTAGAAGGAAGTAAGAAATGTTATGTGAATGTTGAAAAATGTTAATGCTGCAGGTGTAGATGGTGAAAGTGTATGTGGTAGTTTGGTTATAGAATGCCTAGGCAGCTTGTTGAATACAAGTGTGAAATTGTAACTGTATCTAGAGAGTAAGGAAGATGACTTTAACAAATAATATGGAAGAACCATTTACTAATATCAGCCCTCTCGGGTAAATCAGGCAGGAAACATGAATCAATGAATGAATTCTATTTTATTATAATGCAACATTAAAAGAATCTTGCAAATCTAAAAATACAAAGTTTCCGCCACCAATTTTAACTGTTTGATCCATGAGGGCAGGTCCTTCCTATGTTTCTTTCCCTAACAGTTAAGCCACTGGAGGTTCCTATCTTTCTTGTCTGACTGTTTCCTAGGCAGCTTCTCTTCCCTTCCTTCCCCAAGGTCATCCACACGTTCCATTACATCACTTCCCCTTCAGACTATTTCTCCTCTCCTGAGTTCCCAGGAGAAATAGATTGTGTGCTCTAAGAATGAAAGGTAGCTGTGTTGCTAGTTTCTTCTCCTGGCAATTCCCCATGAACATATGAGGCATCCTGTAGATCAGGAGTGTCAAACTCACGTCATCACGGTAGGGTCATGTGAGGTATCGGGACTTTGGTGGGGCCAGCTCATGGCCTCACCCTACTCGATCGCGTCAGGAATGAAGAAGTGCGCAGACGGTTCAATGTCGTGCCCATCCCCACGGTCATGAGGCAGTCCCGGCTACGATGGTTCGGCCATGTGAGTCGCGCCAAGGAAGAATCCATCATCAAATCTGCGATGAAGGTGATTGTCGGAGGAGCGAGACCGCGTGGTAGACCTAAGCAACGCTGGATGGACACGATCAAGGCCGATCTAGAGATCGCGAAGGCAGACCCGACATATGTGGCAGACAGAGAGGTGTGGAAGCAGTACTCAAGGACATTAGCGGACCTCGCCAGAGCGCGAGACAAACGCTGAAGAAAAAGAAGAAGAAGAAGAAGGTGGGGCCAGCTCATGACATATTGACATCCCTGCTGTAGATAATCTCTAGTTGCCCCTCCCTCAGAAATCCCCCCCTCCATCTTGTATACCTGAGATAATCTTTTGTTTTGTACAAATAAGACTCTGGCTTCTCAACAGGTAATTGAGAGATAAATGAAAATGAGAACTAGCTTATGACATGTTTATTGATTTAGAGAAAACATATGTTTGACATGGAATATTTTGTACATTTATGATTAATTATTTACTTCAATTAATTACTTCAATTAGATAAGAGCAGTGAATTATGGAATATAAGGTGTAAGGGAAAATGTGTGGTGTCCATTGTTTAATGTTGTTTAAGAATAAATACAAACTGAATTTTTATGGTGATTTGCAAGGTGTGTTATTTGAAAATAAAAAGGAATGAACATTTATATACAGATAATGCCATGCCATCAATAAAGAAGCCAAATGATTTGGAATGAATGTTAAACAGGTTGCATGATGTAATGAGAAATATGGATCTCCAAATTAACATATCAAGGACAGTAGTAGTTGTGTTTGTCAGGCAAAATGTAATGAACAGTTGCAAATGATACATAAATAGTAAAAACTAGTATATAAGTTTATGTATCTTGATATAATGTTTTTTAAAAATTGAAAATATTTGGAGAAAATCTAATATGGGCAAATGTTAATAGAAAGATAATAGATAGCATGTGGTCTGGTGTGAGGAAAGAATGTTGACAAAAGTGAAAATGATGCCTATAACTGAAAACCTCTGCCCATTTTCTTAAATGAAAACCAGAGCTGGAAATCTCAGGAGTACATAAAAATAATATGGAACACAGTTGTGTAGGATAAAAACTCAAGAATGAAAGGGTGATGAATGAATGTGGACTAAATAGAAAACTGAGTTGCTAGTATGTTGAGGTGGTTTCGTCATACGGAGACGATGAATGAGGATCACATTGCAAAACAAATACATGAAGTAAGAGCAAGCAAGTTGAAAGGAAGGGGGGAGATACTTGCAGTCCGATGGAGTTGATGAGATTTTCAAAAGGAGAGAGGTGAGAAGTTGAAAGACCAAATGGCAATGTAGGAATCAGCAGATGACTTGGTGGAAACAGGAATAAGGGAGAAGGGAGAGGGATAAATGAACAGTATTGATGAAAGTATCTTTTCTCCCTCTTCCTCATCTCATGCATTTAACTCCTTTTCTTCCTGTTTCTTTGTTTTCCTTACCCCCAAAGGGAATATATGCAGGATGAATACACACCCACACCCACAGAGAGAGAAAGACAGACAGACAGACAGACAGAGGAAGACAGAGAAGATGTATGTTATCTTTATTGGGACTGGTCAGAAACAAAGTTTTCAATTCCATTCCCTTCACAATACAGTCACCAACAAAAACTATCCAATGAAGGGTAGTAGTTTTTCTAAAGGGAAATAGTTAAGGAAGAACATTTTGATGGAGTTGGAGAAAATGTATGTAGGTCTTCTCTCATTTAAGAACAAATCCAGTTCACGTGTTCTCTTACGGTCCTGAATTTTACAAAAACACAAGCCTCACCATGACATTTAGCTCACCACTTCTTTTTATTGATGGAAACATTACACAAAGAGGCCTTGGAATCCAGGCCTGCAGTTTGCTCTTGTTATACTTCTAATTGGCATGAAGTTTAAAGGTTGATGAAAGTATTAAATGATTGGGAGTAGGCAAGCTGCTTACAGATGACAGATCAAAATAGGGCACCATCCCTTCAAAGAACGGTTCTGAGAAACCCAGTTTTTGTGGGACGTGCTACCGGTGTGAAGAGAGTCAGGATTGATTTATTTTTCTTTTACTCTAAATCTCATTTCAGTGGATGATTAACAGAGGGAGATATGTAAATGGTGGAGTCTCGATCAAGAAAGCTGCTGTCAGGATATCACCTAGATAAATTAGAAAGGAATGCTCAGGTTTCTGCAAAAGAAGACTAATGACATTAAATCCTAGATGAAATAGAAAGGCAACAGTGCACAAGCTGAAAACCATAAAACTACAGTTTGGCTCGCTAGTAAATCCACACAACTTTTTTTTTAATGCAAGAAACTTTTAGACATATTTCAGTAGAACATATTTTTAATTCAGTTTTCTTTTTAAATAATTGAGATAGTTTGATGATTTAATTGGTGCTAATTTTATGTCTCAGGAAGTTGTAAGCTGTTTGGTGAGGAAATACAGAATTCCAGAATCTTCCAGAAACAAATGTAGATACCATTTTTTCCTCATAGAAAGAGACAAGGTGATTAACTGTCTGGGAAGAAAGTTCTTGCTAAGGACTTTTCCACTTTTTTCCTCTAAATTAGGTTAAAATGCACACTGGTTCTGTTCAGCTTGTTTGAAAGAGCCAACTAAAGGAAAAATTTCAAACAACAGCAAAATCAGAGAAACCAAATTTCAAGTACCCACTTAACCCTCAATTGCAAAGTAGTCACTCTGTTTTACTTCATCCTAATTTGCAAGGTGGTGTTGTAGGGCTGACACTGAGTTCTCAGAGAAAATCTGGAACAACAAAATCAATAAATATTAGTTCCATGGTAACGTAAGACCACCAAGAAAAGCCATTTTCATTAATATTTTTTTAAAAGTAATTAGTAGACTGCATCAGTGCCATCTTATAAAAATAACAGACCTTCAATGAGGCATTATTTGCCTGTTTCTTAATATAGCAACACTAAAATTACTTTTTAATCTAGGGCTGGACTGTGTCCAATTGAACAGCCCAACAATGGTGTCCCTTAGCACTTCCATTGCATAACTGACCAGGTGTAAAGAGTCAATAAGTGTTGAAAATTAAAGTTGAGGGTGGCAGTGAAAGAATTAAGGGCATGATAGCTAGTATGTGTATGTGGGGAATTATGTGATCTTCTTCCCTTGGTGCCCTAAGCATGTGCTTACTTTGCTCTAATGGTTACAATAAAGCAGAACATCTATAACTCAGGGTTAAACTGTGGAGACTTTTATGTTCTCTGAGCTTGTTCTTTGCTTGAAGACATTTCATTGTCTGACTAGGTAACAACATCAGTGTGAGTGTATGAACTTCATCAAACTGATGATATTACCCAGTTGGGTAATGGAATGTCTTCAAGCAAACAACTGAGTTCAGAGTGCTTAATGGTTAATCCAGGTTTGCCTTAATCCTTGTTACTCATCAGAGGACAATAAATCAAGAGGAAGAATGAGTGCCACAGTTCGTGAAAGCGACTACTGTAAAATGTGTTTCACCACAATCCTATACATGACTTTGAAAAGAAAAAAAAAAGCTAACGCTGTCCTAAATCAACTCCCACAATCTTACCATTTGGAGACCTTTCTACAATTCACTCACTGATTTACTCATATTAGAAATGCATTATGTATGTGATGCATGTGTGTTTGCTATTTCCTTACTTGCAAATGCCAAGATGAAACCAAGATAAATGCCAAGATAATAACAGTATCTGAGATTTAAAAGCAAAATAGTTTCTCTCTGAAGTCGGGCAATTCAAAAAAGGAATCCTAAAGAGCAAAGCCCAACCTGGAGCTTTATAACGAACAAAAACATATGGCCGCTTACTTGTATTGCAACTTTCCTTGATAGCGCTAAATAACATTTGCAAAAGAGTTTTTTGGGTATTTTAGTTGGCCTTTTTCCAACATGTGTGCCGCCCTTGGGATAAACAGAAGCCTTCTGTCTACATGGCTGTCAGTCTGCAAGTTGTACAAGCTGTTCTAGTAAGATCTTTTAAAAAACAAACAGAAATGGGCACAATATGTTCACAGCAGTTAGGACACAGGGAACGCTTAAGACATGGGCAAATTTTCTCAATATATATATATTTTCAAATATTAGCTAGGTATTTG